GTGGTCTAGCTCTGATTTCCATATCTTGCTAATTTGCGGGTTTAAATATTGCAATACTTTCCTATAACAAAATAAACCTACAGAAAGAAATTACTAATAAATAGCATAGTTGTATGCTCTATATAGAGATTTTCCTTAGCTTTGTTTGTATATCTCACAATTTTGTAATTTATCATTGTTTATTAAACTCTGAAAGCTGTGTGGCTTCGTTAATATTCTGTCCTAGAATGCGGTTAGATGTGCCCTGTTTTTTTTTTGTTTGTTTTTTTTGAGCACCTGCCCCTTTCGTGGTCTCTGCACAGCCCTGTTCAAACTCATACCTCCTCATCATGGAAACCACACGAAGAAGTTCACATGATGCAGCTTTTAAGTTGAAGGCTATCGATCTGGCAGTACAGGAGGGAAATGGAGCTGCTGCACGTAATAAGCTCGGTGTGAACGAAACCATGGTTCAGCGTTGGAGACGGAGGCCTGTGGCCTTAATAGCAGATTTAGTCATTAATTTTTCCTTGTGGAAAACCAAGCAGCAGAGATATCAGCTGCTTATAGCCCAGTGCGGCATAAATATGTGCGTTTCCAGTTTTGTTTTTGTGTTTTGTTGGGGTTTTTTTTAAACTTTGTAGATGTGACTTATAGTAAGGTGCACAGGTAAAGACAAAGTAACTAGAACAGTCAGTTTTATCATTAATTAACTTGCAAAATTACATTTAATTTTAGAATTATGCTAACCAGACTAAATAGCATAAAGAAGTTTTTATTTAACATTTTAGCATGTTTCCATTTACAAAAACAACTGATACCACTGTGTCTTTCAACAAAGCAGAAATGCTTTTGTTTCTTTTCAGATCTATACCTTCACCATCATGGTTTATAGATATGTTTTTTGTGTGTTTTTTTCAATTTGGATTACTGTTTATCTGGGTTTGCTGGGTTTTTTTTAGCTATTCAATTGTCATAATCAGAATGTCAAATACTTATTTGACTTTGCAAGAGCTCAGCTTTCAGCACAAATACTTGAGTTAAGTTTTTTTTTTTTTTTTCCCATAACTCACTTTGTTTGCTGTTGTGCTTCTTGTAGCTGACAGCAGTTGTCCCAACATGAAGGCATGGTATTTATTTTAAAATTATCTTTATGTTATGGGGTCAGGTCTGTTACCCGTTAATTGTATGCACTAATTAAATTTATGCACATCTTAACCTAAACATCTCAAGGGCCACTTAAAAAGCTTCTGTAGGTTTCAGGCGAACCGAGTTGTCCAAAAACGTATCTCAGGCATGTATGTCATGACATACATTGGTGCTGAGGGAATTAGCGCAACAGTGATTCCTCTCTTACATTTATGGCATATGTTAATACAGCCACTGTACATTTGTAGTCGTCAAACATAAAAAGACTGCAAAGGAATGAACCAAAGTTGCAGTTTAATGTTCACCCATTTAAATCTCATCACATCCAGAGACCACCCTTGTTTAATTATAAAACACTTCCTGTGCTGGTGTGGATTCTGTACAGGAGCACACCGCAGTCATTTAGATTAACAACCCATTCACTTCTGTTTACATGTGGTTCACATTCCATTCATTTAGCAAGTGTACCACTTGCTTCATAAGCTATTCCCAGCAGTAATGATTTGAAAAAACAGCTACTTCTTCAGACAGTTTTTATGAATTGTGTCATAGATGTTATCTCTTTGGATAAGCTTTTGCTGATTTATGGCGGATAGTTCATAGAACACCTACGACACTAGCATGCATCTTCTCTTTTAATGTGATGGGGAAAATAGTGCTTTAGTATGCTCACCTTTTTCTTTTTTTTTCAAATATCTTTTTATTGATTATCAGCAATATATTGAAAAATATATTGCAAATTTTTAACTTCATAATTTTCAATTAACCAACTCGGTTGCACATTCCTTTGGACCCGAGGTCACTATTGTATAACTATAAGATATTTATTTTGAAATTTGGCCCTTACTGTACAGTATTTTCATTCTTCATTTTGTTTTTCAATATTTTAGGTTCTATCTTTCTGTGAGTCTTACCTTGGCTACTGTTGCTATATTTTATTCTATTCTATTTAGTGTCACACTACACCAGGGGTCACCAACTCCAGTCCTTGAGGGCTACCATCCTGCAACTTTTAGATGCGTCTCTGCTCAAACACACCTGGATCAAATAAACTACTCGTTTCCAGCCTATTGCTGAGAGGAATGAATGCTAGTGAGGGAATTCAGACATTTTGGAGCAGAGGTGAATCTAAAAGTTGCAGTATGGTAGCCCTTGAGGACTGGAGTTGGTGACCCCTGCACTACACTATATAAGCACTACACTATATAAGCACTAAACTCATCTTAGAAAGCTAGATGTTTGAAATTAAAAGTGTAAGTGACTCACTTTCTGAAAAATCAGAGTAATTAGCTGACCATTTGGGGTCATAGAGCATTGAAATTTAATTCCCATAGAATCAATTAACCCTTGAGATTAAAAGAAATGAAAAATATGGCAATGGTCCAACTAAACACTGTTAATACCACATTCTTGATCACAGTACACATGCATTATTGGGGCTGCATCAACAGCAACACATGTATTTCAAGCACAACGGGATTATATTTTCCATGAAATCATCTCAGTTTTTTCACAGGCATTTTCAGGCACCTCACTATTCAGTTCAATTATGATTCAGAAAGCTATGATGTAACAAATCTATTATTGGCAGAACATGGTGTCTTGGTCTGTACCATAAGATCTGAAATAAAAAGCTTTTAAAGTTTTGGACATTCAGAACTACTTGTGACTTTGGGTAACAGACGGCTAAGTCACAAGTAAATAATGAGTTCAAGATCTCTCCATAGTGAGCAGTAAATCTTTCTGAAAGATCTGACTGTACTCTGCTGCTATCTTTTAAAGTTTATTTATATTTGCACCATTGTGACTCATTTGCTATTACCATTTCTAGTACACAACAAGGTAACTGCCACATAAATTAGGGTGAACCAGAATTTCATGGCAATGGTGGTCCATGTGGTACATGTTACAGTTGTTCTACACTCTCTTAGTGACCCAATGACGTTACTTTGGTTCCACTGAACAAAGATGGATCTTTGTTTCAGTGAAATATCTTTGAGATGAGAATTTATATCCAGAAAATGCTCCATGGCACAAAAGCCATTGCTCTCATCAGCCACTGACAGATGGAAATCCTTAGTAGTAAAAAATGTTTTAAAGATGTAATTTGCTTGACCTTGTTCAAGTTCCGAGGAAATTCTGAAATATTTGTCTGCCGGATGTTGGCAGGCATATAAGCTGCTTTTCTACTACCTGGAGGTGGAACACTAATATAGTTCTTCATGTTTTGTTGTGTTTTAAATTAGCTTAGCTTACTTTTACATAATCTGAATGTTGCAGCTCTTGTATAATTCATCTTTCCTTCAATATGGCATGACTTTGGCCTCTTTTCACTATAAACTGTTTACTTGGCACACCCATTTGTTTTTCCAAGCTCCGTCTTTTAATTTCTTAAAAATAGATTCTTAAACTCTTCATTAAACTCTTCAGATGTAAGATAACTTCACAAGACATCCATTCCCCTTTGAATCATCAGTTGTGTATATTTAACCACACACACTGAACACAAATTTCTCTTAACTCTTAACTCACAAAGCCTTAAAACATAAATGTTTTATATATGTCATCGAGAACACATGAGTTTTGAAGTCCAGACAAACCTGTCAAAACTCATGTCTCTAACAATACCAACAATATTTAAGGTTAACAGTGAACTAAACAACATGCTTTTGATCTACAAAGTCTACGTCACGCAGGGCAGCTTCATTATTTTGGTATGTTCAGCATGTGATGAGCTGGTGAGGGGAACAAATCATATGAACTTCCTCTTCCCGTATTGGTCTTGCAAAGAATGTGTTTACAGTGGGTTTTATGAGGCGACTGAGGCACTTTCTCTGCTTGTCTCTCAACAGGACTGAAGAGCTGAAACATAGGAGGGCAGAGGTGTGCTGCATGGGGGCCAAAGCCAGGCCTTATGGCACGAGGCGCCCAGATCTCGCTGAGCTATAATTACATCCTGTAGGAGCCTCTGAGGTGAAGCAGTTCACACGGAGACACTGAAAGGTAAAGCATGGAAAGTTGCCAATAAGTTTGTGTACAGATATGATTCTATAAATAGCATTTTTTGCTATTTATATCATTTTAAGCTTAATATGAAGGATTTTTGCAATTTGACATTTTTAACTGTATACTACATTCTGAGTGTATTTCATCTAATGATGAAAGTTGCATAATTTTATTAAATTATAGAAATACACATTGTAAATCTAAACTAAGTGTGAAAACTATTACTCTTATGCTTTTTAGGAAATGCGTATATAATTAATAATAAAAGATAATTTACTTCACATTGTCAGGCTGTGTTTGTAAAAGCATATTTTTCCTTAAAAATGAGCTAATCTGACATAGGTATTAACAAACAGAGTCTTCTGCTTCGCTCTTAAGGCTGAACTTCTTATACTCTTTAAGTTTAACAGCATGTGGAGTTTGGACCAGGCATGTTTTCTTTGTGCCTACAGGGATTTTCTCAGAGCGCTCCGTCTTCCTCTGGGCCTCCAAAGAGTTGCAGGTTAATAAGTGATTATAAATCTTAACCATATGAATGAGTTTATGTGGTTTTTCGTTTTTGTCTTGGTCGTTTAAAGAGCTGGCAGCATGTCCAGGGTGTTAGCCCTGTTAGTGACCCTCACAGTGTCCCACTCTATCTGGAATAGAGTATTAAGTTATAAAGGATAGAACAGATAGTTATGAAAATGAATGCATGAATGAATTGAATAATGTTTCAATTGGAAACATTCAAAGCTGAATTATTGAACTATTTAACGTTAAGCAATTTATCAAGGTGCCTCCCGGTCAGATGCTTCGCCACAGTTAATAAAATCATTGCCATGTATGTGCTTGAAAATTGTATAGATTGAAGTGAAATTAAATTACACAAAGCAGTTCATCAGGTATGTGCTTCCTTTACCGTTAAATATCCATTTTGTCAGTACCAGATATGCAGCTTAGTCTTTGCTCCAACATGTGGATAACTTTTGTAAGAAATCTAAAAAAAAGCATAATTTTTCGTTTCTAAAGATATGTCTGACTTCAAATACACTTGCTGCTCACAAAGATGTTTTTGTCAGGAGGTGCTGAAATGATAAACAGTTATGTTTACTGTATGTTTTCATAGGAATTGTTGACATTTTAGCTCTTAATGTATTTTTGTTTGTCAATTAATTACATATTTATTATTATTAGTTGTCATCAAAACTGTGGCAAGTATGACAAACTGTGGTTACTTTTAACTGGGGAGATTATGAACCATTTTTAAACTACTACAGTTTTCACTTTTATATTTTATTTGAAACTTTGGCATTGGTTTCTAATTACTTCAGAACAGGTAAAGTCCTCCCTAAAAAGCTGAAGTTGTAGAAAACTGTGATCTTATACACCATATTAGTTTTCAGTATTTAGCCAAATATGAAGTGTAAAAATATACATATAAAAGAGAATATAAAGATTTTTCTGTCTGTTACTTATTAAAGAGTTGCTTAGAATATTCATGCCATGGGTTCCTTTAGAAAAATAAAGTAAGAGTTGTCAGAAAATTGCTAAATGTTTGATTCTTTAAAACAAATTTGTCTGATGATTCCTTTTTCTTTTTTTTTTTTTCCAAATTCAGCCACTTTTTCAATTGTCAAAGAATGTAACAGTGTACACTTTAGCTTTACTATTTACAAATTTCACCTGTTGTCTATAGATGTTCATTGCATTGGGGGGATGCTGCTTATCTCCAGCAGTCATTAGGACACAGAAGACAGACAACCATGCACACATGCACGTACACAGGCGTACAAGCACGCACACACATACATGTTATTTTGTTTGTATTTCCTTTTAATTCCTGGAAAGGACTTTGTATTGTCTTGTTGCTGAAAATGTGCTATATAAATAAAATTAACTTTACCTTATATGCACACACACTCATCCTTTAGAGATACCAATCAATCAAACAGTCAAAGAAGTTGGAGTACCCAAAGAGAAGCCACACATGCACACATATGGCATGCAAACTCTGTGCAAAAACACTCCAGGCTGGGATTTGAACCCAAGATTTTTTGCTGTTAGGCATTAGTGCTACCACCTATGCCAGTGTGGAGCCCTACAGTTGTCATATCAATTTAAATTACAATACTTCTTTTTTTTTTCTTTTTTTTTTGAGAGAGAGAAATACAAATTTAGTATAGTTAGAAGTAATTATGGTAACTATACAAAAGTGAATGCAATGCAATGTAGTTATTTTCTCATGTCAAACTACTGTAGCACAGAGAGGGCAGAACACAGATCTGAGATCCAGTGAGAGACTGTATAGTTAAAGTTAAATAGTTCTCACAAGTGGTTGCTAGCATATCATAGCTCACATTATGTACTATTCTACAGGCTATGAATTTACCTGTTCACTTGTTGTGCCAACAGTTTTTATCCACAAGCCTTCACCCTGACACCCGAGGCAAATGCAGCATATAATAGGCAGGTTAGCTGACAGAGCCAGGAGAAGAACCACAGGTTTTAACAAGCCTATGATGTGTGCTGAGCAGTTTTAAATACAGCAACTTGTCAATTTATTCAAAACAGAAAGTACAGACGTTCTGTTTTGAAGTGAGACGACATGTTGACGAAAAAAAAAGACTGTATCACAACAGCCAGTGAAACTGTAATGTGATACCTACTGCATTTTTATTAATCATTAAATATTTTGTTGTAAGACATGTATATAAAAATAAATAACGAAGACATTATTTTCTTCATAAATATTATGTTTTATAGTTAACACATTGGTTTTATTATACTTTCCACTGCTTTCTCACACCAGAGAGCCACTGGAACCAAATCATAGCTTTTGTTGCTTGTACTTATTTAGCCAAATAAAAGCTCCACATCTGTTTAGTTTTAGTTTATAAAACCTACTTGGAGATTTTGCTGCCATGTTCAAAGCTATAACAACACACAAAAGTTGGAAAATTGCAATAAAACAAATTGGTTAATGACCATGACTGGGTTAATGGTGGATCCACAAAGCACCTCTTGGTCCCTGAGACGATGCTTCACATAAAATTACAGCTTGGAACATAAAATAACTCTCCTTATGCTACTGGAAAAACAAAAAATTGGTTCCCTTTTAAACTGTGTGAAATGGGCCTGGATTAGAACTGTTTGTCCAGTTTGCCGTATACTTGATGACGATAATTTCAAGTCCATTAGAGTAACGTCAGCAATGTGTTTCTCATGCTTGTCTTGAACTATTTCTGCTGTTTTCCTAGCATTTTCCAACTAATAAAAACCACTGCCAAGAAGAAATATTATTTTATATGTAAAGTATGGTCACACATGTCAAAACTACATCCACATTCATAGCAGGCTGCTTAGGCAGAATGCTCTCAAAAGCATTAAACTGCTCTTTGCCTTGATGATTCTTTCTTATTTGATGTATTTCTTTATATAAATCTTACTGTGCCAACTGTCTACAAGATACAAAAGAAAAATTGATTGATCAGATCATGATTCCCTTCTCTCAATACCTTTGTGTGCATTATAAGTGATGACTGCTATAAGACACTGACATGTGTTAAACTGACACTTGTCAAAATCTCTCAAACTGTGGTTATGAATCTTTCCCAACCTTTTTTACTAGGACTCATCTTACCAGAGCGCTTAGTTTGCCATGTGTGTTTTAACCCCTGCATAGTTTATTCTGTTTGGAGTTTTGCCAACACTTTCCATTTCCGATGGTTGGTTGAACTTCTTGCCTAACATATCTGCTGTGTTTCTTTGTCCTCCTAACATTGCTTTTTCACTAATGTTCTGTAGGAAACCTCTGAGGCCTTCACAGCTGTATTTATTCTGAGAATAAATTGCACACATGTGAAGCCTAGTCATTAGTTGACTGCCAAAGGCAGCTGGCTGCAGCAGATAAAGAAATGCACCATGAGATGACCTTTTGTGACGTCAGCAAATCCATCCTCCTGGTCCCATGTGTCATAATTTTTCTTGCTTTTGAATTCTTTTACATTTAGTTTACATTAAACTGAGGCATTAATTGAATATGAATATAATTGTCAGTAAATTTGTTAAGACTTGTCTAGTTGTAATTTTTAAAACTGACCTTTGAAAAATACGAGGTCTGACAAAGCTACCACTGATTGTCTTGAAAAATAATATACATTTTGATGTTTTCTCCTGTATTAGTCAGACTCTTAAAGTGATCAAATCATAGAATAAAACAATTATCTTCTATCTTGAAAATGAAATGATATTAAAATATTCAGTTGTGTTGTACAAAGTTTACACCAAATGATTTCAACCTCAAGTATTATATTAGCTCTGCCAGGGACTTTAAATGATTGCTTTTACTGTCTCCGGATTGTATTATCACTATTATTGTTATAATTAGAATGTATCCTGTTTACATAAACTAACTAATTCAGACATTTTGCTGTCATCCATATTTTTTTTTTTTTTTTGAGTCAAGAATTACTCAGAGTTTTACATAATATAGAAAATGACTTACAATAATCCATTGCCTCTTGGCATTAGGAAGGACATTTTTTTCTCTACTTTACAGTTGAACTACCATCAGTATATTTCTTCATGAGGTTCTGTCTTGAATGTATATACAGTAAATCCATTAAAATATTGGATGTGTCTTGGTGTGCTGTGGTGGCGCAGGGGTTAAGCACAACCCACATATGGAGGCCTTAGTCCTCGATGTGGCCGTCGCAGGTTTGATTCCTGACCTGGTGACCTTTGCTGCATGTCTTCCCCTTCTCTCATTTCCCACTTTCCTGTCAATTAACTATTAAATAAAGGCCACTAGAGCCAATAAAACCTAATATATATATATATATATATATATATATTGGATGTGTCTAACTTAAAAACTAGCTTGCCTTATAATAAGGCTCTTTTTAAGTTTTGGATCTCAAATAATTTACAGATCCCTTTTTAACCAAGCTCCTTCCATTTTACTTCTTTCAATAAAATCTTACATGTTTGGTTCATTACTGAGCAGATGCAAATAAAAAAAGCACAAAGAAATTGGCCTTAAAATTTTATTTTAAACAAAATGACTATAGTGGCCTCCAAGCACATTAAATTTGAAACTGCTGCTGACTCATGTGATTAAAAAGTTTGGACACATCTGCTTAAGATCATCTGAAACCTGTTAATCTGTAAATCCCAGAACCAGGTCTAAACAAGAAGGAGCAAAACAGTTTTTTCTGCTACTTACACATAAAGGTCAAGTTTTATTTTAATAGGTAATTGTATTTATATCTTACTTTATGAAGCTACCAATTTAATCTTTGCTTTTTTACGTGGTGCTTAAACTTTATTATCAATGTTTTTGAAGTACGTCATGTTTTTAATTATCTTCATCTGTGTTGCTTTTACTCTTCTGTGAAGCAGGTTGAGTCACCTCTTGTATAAATGGTGCCATTCAGATGGACTTGCTTTGCCTAAGACCAAGCAGTAGATAAACTGGTGAACACACGAAGGTTTTAAATTCATTAGAGTTGCCAAAAAACAAGCACAAAATACTGGTAAAGGTTAACTACTGTTTATGACTACTGATGTTCCTCTAAGGTAGCTACAAACAACTCAAACAACAGTGTTTTTCACATCAACATACCAGAAGCTGGCTTCTTCTTTCATTTGGATGTTTTTTGATTGTGTTGTAACAGTTGTTTTCGCTCTTCTCATTGGTTGTCTCAGATCGTGTGCCCATGAGGTCATCCATGCTGGTCCTGTTTCTGGTCTTCAGTGCCCAGGCTGTGGCCCCCATCATAGGGCTCTTGTGCAGCGTCACAACAGCACAACAGGACAACCCCACCTCCATCCCCACTGTGGACCCCAAGCTCTTCAATAAGCGCCGCCACCTCTCACCCAGGGTGCTTTTCAGCTCACAGCCCCCCGATGCGGAGCCAGCAGGGGGACAGGGTGTCAGCAGGAGGACTCGAAGGCAGCCTCAGCACCGGGGGGTGTACTCGGTGTGTGAGAGTGTTAGTGTCTGGGTGGGCGACAAAACCAAAGCCACAGATATCTCAGGCAATGAGGTGACAGTGCTCCCGTATGTGAACATAAACAATGTTAACAAGAAACAGTATTTCTTTGAGACGACGTGTCACGTCCCTCCATCTGGAGGCTCGAGATGTTTAGGAATTGACGCGAGGCACTGGAACTCCCACTGCACCAACTCGCACACTTTTGTCCGAGCGCTGACTTCATTCAAGAACCTGGTGGCTTGGAGGCTCATTCGGATCAACGTGGCGTGTGTGTGTGTGCTCAGCCGCAAATCGTGGCAGCAGTGAAGAGTCACCCATAGACTGGCACACAGAACACAATATAGACAGACACATAAAAATGCCGACCGGCGTGTTTCTGCATATAACTTATCACCAAGGACTTCTCACCCTCTGCACAAAGTAAATTATTCTTGTATGTGTCAAAGTATCAGGACTGCATGTATACACACCAGACCTGGGTCAAAGAGTATCTGCCAGTAGTTTTAGCCATTGAAGTATTAACATGATTGTGAAGGTGTTTTAATCAGCTGCTGTTTTTATAAAAGAGGCAGTTTGGTGAGGTACATGTGTTCTTTTGCAACTATTAAAGTATTAGACTTTATAGTTGGAAATTAGAAATGTTCTTGTAAAAACCATTACCCGTGCTGCTTAAAAGAGCTGCAAAACTTGGTCAATTTGCTACATTTAGGAGAATTTATTGGCAGTAAGATGCATAATATCAATTTATTCAAACAATTTAAAGTCACATTAAAATTAGAGTTATATTATTGTCTGGTGGAATTAGTCAGTTAAATAGAGTTGTGTGAAAGAAATTGGTTTCCTTATTCCATATTCCTTACTTTTCTATCTTTTGTTACACTTACATGTTTAGGATCATCGAGCAAGTAGATAACCAGAATAAATACAAAAACATTGGTTGTTAAATCATTTTATTTAGTATTTAGAAAATTTTTTTACACTAACCTGGTCCTATGTGAAAACAATATTTCTTCTTATTAAACTGTTAATCCCTGGGATTAACAACTTTTTAAATTCAGCTTTTTCTCATTCCACCAAGGATTAATTACTCACATTAAGAAAATTAAAAACAGATGTTCTTGATGGTGCCCAAAATTTCTGGGGATTTTTTTGGACTGAAGAGACAAACGTGGAACTTTTCAGGACGCATGCATCTGTTTACATTTGGAGCAAAACTTAAACAGCATTTCCACAAAGAAACACCATAAAGATTGTTAAACATGGTGGAGGGAGTGTGATGGTCTAGAACTTCCTTGTTTCTTCAATAAGTTGTTGACTAACAAACTGATGGCACCATGAATTCATCTTTTTACCAGAAAGTCGGCCATCTATTCGGGACGATAAGCTGAAGTGTCTGCCACTCAATGGCTGCAAAAACAAAATAAAGACTTAGGAGTTGCATAAGTTTGATAGTTTTATACATTTAAATGTGACATAAAAGCAAATACAGAAGAAATATATCAGGGCTGTAAAGGCTTTTTCACAGCTTAATATGACAGTCTAAAAACGGTGGAATAATCTATTGTATTTTTCTTATTCATTTTCCATCAACTTCAAAGATATTTTGATGGTCGCGAAAATTGAGGAAAATTTTTTTGGCCTTAAGATAAGAGAACAATACTGGAATCCAACCAGCCTTAAACTAAGTAGTGATGCAGGGTTATAGTATTCAAAGACAATTGACCACAACCCACAAGACAGAAAAATGTTGTGTCTTTCATTGTGCATGTTTTTTTTTTTTGAATAATAATTGTCACACGTTTGGAAAGAGAAGTGAACAGTTTTCAGTTGGTTGCAGGCTAGTATTTTACCGCAAGATATCACTAAGCCAAAGTAAATATAATGCAATTTGAAAATTACATATATGTAGAATCTCTTGCTAGTTTAAACTATACTTTAAGGGCTTTTTTATTCTCCCAATTCCAAAGTATCACTTTTATAAAAGCAGCCTTAGTTTAATAGGAACTTTAATCCTTCCTTTTTGCAATTGAGTTCTTGCTGCTTAAAAAGGAATTAGGAGGTACTATTAAATGCACAGACTATCCAGTAGCATTTTCACTGAATTCAGCTTTCTCCTTACATTTTGTATGATGTAGAGCCTAATCAAACCACGAAACTACAATAAAATTAGCCCCAAACCTGCAGACGGCACGTTTGTCCTGCTTAAACGTGTAATTTAAGGGGTTATTTTTATGACCATCAACAACATTTTATATCGGAAAAAGAATTATGATGTACTAAATTCCAGATTTGGACAAAGAAGCGGACTTGTGGACCAAACCACAGCTGCACTGTAAACCACAGCTTCTGAAAACAGCATTTCGGTTTACAAGTATATTTGACTGTAGCTTTTACAAAGCAGATGCTAAAATCTGTGTTGTTAATAGCAGCTGAGTCAGTCACAGTAAAAGGCCCGTAAAAGTTCTGGCACAGCAACAGTCAAATTTCTTGTAATCATTTTTGCCTCACTGTTCACCGTCTTAAAGAAAATCCGTCTTAAAGAAAATCCGTCTGGCTGAGAAAGACTAATAAAACCATTCAGCGGATACAATTTAACCCAGGTCTGTTATAAGCAATTTGTTCATTTTTTTTAAATAATAAATAATTATGTTTATGTTATTTATTAAACATATACAAACATAAACTATGTTTCATGAAGTGGTTCCTGCAACTATGAAGAAACATCACAAAAAACACTATGAGATTTGTAGCTTTCGTGGGACAAAAAACCAGACAAATCTATATGTTTTTGACAGATCATGAACCTTATTTATTGCTTTGACTGATATTTATGTTGATTCTTCTCACCATCATTCTACAATTGATATGAAACAACTGGTTTAAGAAATATCCATTAAAAAAGTAAGACAGCGAATGATTCATGAGGCCTACTCACTGATTATATCATGGCTTAGCATATTCTTTTGTTTTGGCAGTGACATTTTGCTGTTGTCAGCACACACAAAAATTGGACTGCTGCCATTCACTCAGTATCACTTGGGATATGTTTGGGTTCCTTTGGGTTCCCAGCCCAGTTTTATATCATAACTTGTGTTCATGAGCCAGTCTTGTGAAACTCCGGATTGGAAGCACAAGGGAAACTGAAGTGAAATGAAGAAGCTGGAAAGGAAATGTTTTACAATAAGACATTTCATTTGTAATAGTTTCAACCTGTCAGATATAAATGCAGTTTTTCAACCAGAGCTCTTGAATCTTGAGACCGACTAGAGCTGATCCCAAAATCAGATGTAACACTTCCCTCTAGTGGACAAAGGCCAGAACTGAACCTTGTCAGAACCTAACCTTACTGAATATGTGGAAAATCACTCTAGTGTCTATAGAATAAACAGTTTGAAATTACAGTCTGGTGGTAAAATAAAAAATACAGGAGTCGCCATAATTAAGATGTTTTATTTACTGAAACAAGGCTATATGAAATATAATAAAATTTGAGTTAATTGGATTTATTCCAGGTTCTATTTGCCCCACAAAAAAATTAATTTAATTATTAAAATAAAACTAGACATTAAAGGGGGGATATTATATAAAATGTCCATTTTTAAGATTTATAGCATGTTAAAAGTTTGTGCCTGTTTGAGAATATTAATTTCTCAAACATGCATTTCTAAATGCATGTTTGAGAAAACCTTAAATCTTTCATTATAGCTGCGAGTCCTTTGGTGTATGTTTCTAAAATGTCTCTGGAAACCAAAAACATTTGCCCATCTTTTTTTGCAGAACAGCTACGAAATAATCAGACTGGATGGAGAGTACCCATGAGCTTACATTTATTTATTTCAGGTAGTTGATACAGACACTTTTTAATTGAAATCTATGGAGAAATTGTAACTGAGATCAGAGTCTTTCTGAAAACATTCAAACAAATTAAAATCCTGCCTAAAATGGAACACAAAAACTACAAACTACATCTGATATTGAGAACCTGTTTAGATTTCAGTTTAATTACAACGGGAATAGGACGACAAACATACATTCACTTTCACTCAAACGTCAGTAAAGTTTTACAGAAGTGATTTACAGATCCCTTTTCTATAGCAAGTCGATTATAGATTCTCTACTTTTGTTTCATTAAATAAGTGCATTTAGTTAATCAATAAAGAGATTAAGACAAAATTAAAATGATTTGTGCATTTTTAATAGAGATGTGCCGATCGATCGGTCACCGATCATAATCGGGCCGATTTTCGTGAAAAAGTGCATGATC